AAATAAACAAAATAGTTTTAGAAGAGCGAAAAATTACCGGTAACGAAAAGAGTAAGTTATGTAAGTCAATAAAGTTGTTAATTTATTTATAATTTAAGGTTATTATCACTAAAATTAAATATATCATGTGTAAAAACATTATTAACATATAAATCTTACAATTCCTTAAAGGGTTCAATAACGATGGATTTTACGAAAAATATGTGTAAGTGTAAAAAATACAAACACCAACTTATCGGCTCAATAAAATTCGGACTACTGTGAGGATATAGAAACGATAATGATGCAAAATAAGTTAAAAAAATTATCGAACCACTTGAATGAGCCGATAAAAAAAAAAGAGCCGATAAGGAGTCGCGTAAAGTAGTGCGCGGTTCGGTAAGGCGGTATTAGTTCTTCCATACATACATACATACATACATACATACATACATACATACATACATACATACATACATACATACATACATACATACATACATACATTCATACATACATACATACATACATACATACATACATACATACATACATACATACATACATACATACATACATACATACATACATACATATATACATACATATATACATACATACATACATACATTTATTTTTTTTTATTTTTTTTTTTATAATTTAGCTGTACAAATATTTACAAGTTCCGTAATTTAAAATATTTAAAAATGGCAAGAACGAGAAGAAGACGGGGTTGTCTTTTCACCAAGTCCCTTGTTTGTCTAGACATTTATATAAATACATGGTAACTAAAATGAAAATTAAAAAATTAAGAAAAAAGCAAAATATTACAAAGAAGTTTATAAAAAATGCAAAATAGTTTAATAGTTCAAAGTTTTGAAAGATATTTTTTCGATTTTATTTTTTGAAAGAAAAATTTAAAAGTTCATTCAGAAAAACAAAAATATCAAAAAACTAAAAAGCATGAAAAAAGTAAACGTAAAATTTAATTTACAATCTGTTCTTATAAAGTGTAATATATTAATTCCTCAAAAACAAATTACAAAATATTAATATAAAAAATTAAAACTCAAAAAAGATTACTTTTTTTATTTTTCCTCTCTCTCTCTTATTTAAGAAAACTAATAAATTTATTTAAACTAATGAAATCTAAAAATGCTAAAAATCTTTATAAGTACTTTTTTTATAATATAACAGACTGTAATACCTATATAAAATTAAAGAATTTAGACCTTCCAGACAAATAAAGTATGCATTAGTAGATAGTTTTAAAATATAATATATTTATAGATAGATTTAAAAATAATTATCTGTTTGTTCATTATTTAAAAGTAATAGTTTTAGTTTTTGTTTAAACTGATCAAGTGTTTTAATATCATTACTGATTATCTTATTCCATGCATTAGGTCCTCTAACAGTTATTGAAAACTTGGTGGAGTCGTATATAGTTTTGGGTTGAACAAAGTTGTTGTTAGAATATTTAGTTACGTATTTGTGTTGAATTTTATTAAATGATGGTTTGAAGATATTTGGTATTGAATTGTTATTAATTTTATACATAAAAATCAGAAGATGATGTATATTTATTTGGTACACATTTAGTATTTTTAGATTGTTAAACAATGGTCTTGAATGTGAGAGGCCGTGTGCATTTGATAATAATCTAATTGCATGTTTTTGTTTGCTAAAAAGCTTTTTTATCTTTGTTTTATTGGTGCTACACCAAGCAATGTTTGCATAATTAAGATAAGAATGTATAAATGAGTAATATATGTATTTCAACAGGATTGATCTAAGAATTGTTTTGCTTTATAGAGTAATCCAATATTTTTAGAAATTTTATTTTCAACCATGTTTATGTGGTCTTTCCAATTTATGTTTTCATCTAGAATTACACCGAAAAATTTCATCGAACATTCTCTTTTTACGATGTAATCTCTAATAATAAGTTTTGGAAGTTCAAGAGGAATTTTTTCTTTTTTATGGAGGCGATGAAAAATAGTATATTTAGTTTTAGTTAAATTAATTGAAAGTTTGTTCATATTTAACCATTCGGTTAGTTTTAGGAGTTCAATGTTGACCGTTTTAAATAATGCTGTTATATCACTATGAGAATAAAATAAATTTGTGTCATCAGCAAATAAGATAGAATCTAGAATATTAGAGGTTTTGCTTAAATCATTAACATAAATTAAAAATAAGAGTGGTCCTAATAGAGATCCTTGAGGAACGCCGCAAGTAATTGTCATATTGTTAGTTTTTTTATTGCCGAATGAAATATACTATTTTCTATTAGATAAGTAGCTTTTAAACCAAGCTATGTTAATATTTTTGATACCGTAGTTCTCTAATTTATTAATTAAAATACTATGATCAACTGTGTCGAACGCCTTACTTAGATCTATGAAAACACCTAAAGTGAACTTGTTTTTATCAAAAGCTTGAAAATTAATCTGAACAAGATGAAGAATTGCATGATCAGTAGAGTGTCCTGTTTTGAAGCCAAATTGTTTGTTATATAGAATATTGTTTTTTTCTAAATATGAATATAATTTGTTATACATAATGCGTTCTAGTATTTTTGAGAAGCAAGGAAGAATGGAAATAGGTCTATAATTAGAAATATTAGTATTATCTCCAGATTTAAAAAACTGGTATTACCCTTGCAATTTTAAATTTTTTTGGAAAGATTCCTTGTTTAAACGAAAGATTAAACATATGCAAATAGATTTTTTAATATAGAAGATACATTTAATTTTGACATTACTGCTAATGTTATCAACTCCTTGTGATTTGTTTAATTTTAATGAAAGAACAGCATCTAATAACTCTTTTTCGGTTAACTCCGCATTTTCCATTATTGATTTGCTAGGAGTCAAGTATTTCTCCTTGTTAAAATCACTGTGTTTTAGTTTGGATGCTAAATTTAGACCTGCGTTGACAAATACGTCATTAAACGTTTTAGCAATTAGAGATTCTTTTGTAATATCTTGATGATTGTAATTGAGCTTTTTTGGAAGACCATTTAACATAATACATAATACATACATACATACATACCATTTAACATAATACATAATACATACATACATACATACATACACATGAACATACAGACCATTTAACATAATACATAATACATACATACATACATACATACACATGAACATACAGACCATTTAACATAATACATAATACATACATACATACATACACATGAATATATCTATACAAAATAGTGACAATAGAGCATATAGAATAGTGACAATGACAACAAAATAAATAATAAGCAGTAGATAGCACATAATACTTCAATGTGACATACCATATTTTAATAAAGTAATGTCTAATATTTATCTGTTTATATATATATATATATAGATATATATATATATATATATATATATATATATATATATATATATATATATATATATATATATATATATATATATATATATATATATATATATATATATATATATATATATACATATATATATATATATATATATATATATATATATATATATATATATATATATATATATATATATATATATATATATATATATATATATATATATATATATATATATATATTAACAATCAAGGAATTCACGACTCGTAACGATTTAAACTTGGATAAAAATAGTACGTGTTAAAGGTATGCAAACTTGGTGTGGAGTTTAGTAAGACAAAGTGTTTAGAGAATATAAACTTTACCTGATAGATTGAGATAATTCCTAACTGAAAATAGTATTAGATAATATTAATTAATAGATTAATAACTCAAGATAGCCAACTAATACACAATATAATTGGTGGATACACCATAAATGAATAATAATTTAATATGTAGAATACTACATGAGAGTGGACCGATACAGGTCATAAACGCGTAATCGATCAAAGAGTATCTTGCGGACTAAAAAAATTGAGTTGATAAACAAAGATTGTTCACATAATAACTTTAAAAACGTTATTGAAGTCTGTATGGCGCAAAACTAAAACAAACTGGCTCATCGACGTTAGATAAATTTTCTTAGGATCAAAAAAATCTAACAATATGGTAGTCGAATACAAAAAGTATAACTAAATTACATGGTAAGAGCTTTTAGAGTGACTAAAAGGTAATATAAAAAAATTAAAATTAAAAGTAAGTAAGTAAAGTGGCTTATCTGCCACCTAAAGGGTGGTGAAAGTGATAAACAAATAGATCTGTCATGTAAAGAAGAATGCTAAACTTAATCTATTTTTGTCTTGTTTTGGGGCGTTCCATATGTAAAAAGTGTATAGCAAAGTTTGATCGTTGTAGTCCTTGTGTGATTAGTATGTGTTTTATAAGGTATAAAATGTATTCATTGTGATATTTTATTTATATTCTAAATAAAATATGGAAAAATCATTTTGTTTATCTTCAAGGTTTTTCCATTCACATGGACAAGGGTCCATGTTTAAGTACCTTATAGAATTGAGATAAATGTCAAAACAAAACCATCTATGTGAGTGGTTCTCAATATTTCTAGCTAGCCACAGCAGTTGGTATATTCTTTTTTTATATATTTTGCGCGGTTTTTTCTAAAGCCGAGAATAAGAAATTGAAAATTAAGTATGGAGAGCATCCGTTACCAATGAAAATAGGGTCAATTTGAATGTTTTAGTGTCAGTTATAGTTATGTTCCAGAATATTATCTGTGATAATCATACATACAGAATTTTATCTGTGATGATCATTTTCAGAGTTTTCAATCATTCCACCAACAAGCAAGTTAATCCCTTAAAAAAATGTAAATCATTTAAAAAAATGTTAATCTGTTTAATCAAGCGCGAAAACGAGTATTTAAAGTTTTTTTATTCTACAACAACAAGTATATAAAAATATTTTTTTATTCCATGTGTAGCAGTTTTTAGTATTTAAAAAAATGGTAAAAACTACAAAAAAATTTCTTCAAGTAAATTAAACAAAGTCAAAAAAATTTTGTTTAAAAAACCAGTTGCTGTACGTTTATTTTTTTTAG